CATCCTCTTATTATTTAAAACTTGTGCAAGATGAAGCTAAGAAGATTCAAAAGTGGAAAGAAGAACCCGGTGTTCCGTAGGCACATTCTTCACGCGACAGACGAAGGGTGCAAGTTTCGATTCGAGGGTGTTACATCCAAGGCTTTCACGTGAATCAACGTGTTCAGCTTGAAAACCAAGCAAGTCTTGTAAGTCTTGACTGTGGTCATTTAACTAATTTTGATAATACATTTAATCATACTAGTGTGTTGCATTATACGAGTTCGGTACTAGATCTATATTTCGATGCAAATAGGTTTTTAAACATACCTCGTGAAAGCACAACTCTATCAATATGTGACTTACAATTACCAAGATAGTCACAACACAACGTGCACAACAGACATTTTTGTGTTCACAGCACTATGATAGGAGCTGCGTTGTCTGCTGTAACACGACACAATTAGAGAAGGCAGCATGAAGACCTGATTTAGAAGCAATGTCACTCTATGCGCAGATGTAGGAACCAAATAAACCGACAAATACGACATCAATTTTACACTATCAATTCAAATTATAGATCGCGATCAAACTTCCAATAACTTTCACGCTCAAGAATGGTGTCACTCCGTGAATCAAGTCGAATTTTACTATAGTATCATGTTCGTAGAGATTTATGGAGCGCAATTGCATATAGAGAGCGATTGATATAGCAAATCTAACATTCGTTTGATGATAAGCAAGGATTCACCTAAATCTTGACAAGTTACTTTATGACATGTTTCAAATAAGAACCAATCAATGAGAATATCGGATCAAAGAAGAAAAAAAGCAGAAAACTCAACACCGTCGATATTGACACTTTGGGTGCCTGTTGGAGCAAGTGAAGATTTATGATAATAATACAATACGATTAGATACTCTTGCATTCTCATGATTTTAGCGACTAAACTAAGAAATGGCTACAGATATACTGCGTATTCCTTCCAGCAACATCACATAAATTTGTTGGATGAGGTATCGTACGAAGCACTCCAGAATTGCAGTGAGCATTTTTTTGAAATTGGTACTAAATGCTTGTTATGCATGTAGTTAACCAGCTTATATACGTTCGAGACTAACTTCGTGATGATTTTAAAAAGCTCTGGCTACCATTAGGCTCGATCGTGAGGCTGTATTTCTTGTTGTATTTCTTGCTGTATTCCTTGTGTGACATACACCGCGAAAGATTCTCAAGTTATTTTCTTCCTATTAGCTTTCGATATATTTAGGATGCTGGGGTCAATAAGATCCAGCTTTAAGATAAGTAACGTGTGAGGCTCACGGCAGGTTTGTTGACTATTTACATCAACGTTCCCGGTTTCGTAATGCCGTGAAAAGTAATGATAGATCTTAAAGCGTCGTGCAATTCCGTTCGATGGGTGAGCGTAAAAAAAGAGACAGAAAGTCAAAAATAGTGGACAGTATGCGGAGGCATTGAAGATCCCAAATACGGATTCAATATCCGTGCGTCTTGCGATGTGATAGTGCCAAAAATTCCTTAAAACCTTTTAATAAAATTGTAGGTCTTTAACAGGGTTGAAAGTTATCTGGCCCTTAGTCTAGATTGAACGTCCACTTCTGTTCTTAAGTATAGAGCCAGGACTACGCATTGACTGGCAGACAAAAGTTTTTTTGCTTGGTGGGCTTTGGTGAGTTGTAACGGGGTTACATATACCCTTGGTGTCAGGTGTGTGTGTCACACTAGATGGGCATGGTGTGACCACACCCAAAGAAGATTACGGTACGGGGCTGGATAGTCAGTAGATAAACATGCATTTAAATTTTACTATACATATTTAGTAAAATCTATGCATTTAAAATTAGGCGGCTTGTCGCAGATAAAAATAAATAAAGGCAGTTTTGGATTTAAACGGACGAGTTAATTAGCCTTGAATTAGGGCAATAATTACTCTTGGAGTGAGCGGATTGCGATCCGCTAAACTCGTACTTGCTTTAAGTATAGAACGAAAGGTCGGTGACCTAACTTACGCTTCCTCAAAGCGCAAAGCTACGGCAGCCCCCCTGCACGAGTTATCAATTCACACGCAGAAGCACTCTTGGCGTGGGCAAGAACTTGCGATAACATCCTGATATGATATTGTCTGAGCTGATGAGCAAGACAGTTGCTTAGTACCTTGGACAATTCTGGGAAGGTAGAAATGGTACTGAGCAGCGTCACAATATCAGCTGAGAAAGTGTATCTCCGGTAAAATGACTAGTAAGAACTTTTATGATGTTTCTGAGTCGGTGGAGACGGGTGCCTCAAAGTCGCAAAAAGAATGGCTAGATCATAAAAAATTATTACTGACGGTCTATATTCGAGTCAACTTAGTCAGCACAGCCGTATGAGGCACCCATTTTACGATGCTGTGAATCTTCACGAGTTTATGAGTAATAAGAGTATTCACCCGTGAAAATGATAAGTGGGTAGTGCTATGGCTGCCAGTCGTCCCTCGTTGCCCCCGGCTGAAGTCCTAATTACGCTTGAAACAGTATCCCTAGGTGGTGAAAAACGAGTTGCAATAAATTCAACAATCGGACGGTTGGTAACGGAGAAGGAGCTGAGAACATCTGTCATCACTGACACTTGCATAAAAATGAGTGCGATGGGTGAGGAGGCGTTCGTCAAGGATCCTTCAATTATTCTTTTGCTAACCGAGTATCAGGGCGTGGTTTTTTTTTGCCGCCAGGCGTACTGCTCTCGAATAAGGGAATGCACCAAATACTTCATCTGAGTTGTGGAGCCAAATTTTGTGTCACATTACAATGTCCGGTTGTGTAACGTGACGGCCGCTTTTTATTCTGGCGAAGCACAACAGGTGGGTGAACTAGACATCATCCACTCGGCGCTGACTTTATGCATCAGAAAGGCTCACGGCAACTATGAATTGTGCATGGCTTTTCAAACGCTAAAATGCTAAAACGCCACATCTCAGAGAAGATGCGCTGCTGGACATTATGGTCGATATTAGCGCTCTAGTAGATGATGCTTATTATCAATTGCTTTATGAGCGACAGTGACACCCTTTACACCGGGATAAGTTACCGGAGCAAGATGCAATCGAAGTGGATGGTTATGCCTCATCGCCTGTCTTAAATATCAGCAACGTTCAGTTGTGAGATGACACAGCGGTTCTCACAGCATGCTAGCTATGCAAAAAATATATCGTGCCATATTTAAATCGGTCTATAGGAGTGCCAAGATCGGGGTCGGGTAATAACAATCATGCCCAACGCTTGCAAGCAGTGATCAAGTGCTTGCGCATCAATTACTGCTGGCAAAATTGATTTGTGTGACTTTGGCGCCGACAAATTTTGGTTTCGATATGCTTTATTGGAAAACATGATCTGTAATCAGATTCTGCAGAGACAAACTTTATTGCAGATTTGCCGTTGCCTTTGTATTGAAGGTACTACGAAATGGCTTGGCCTGGCAAATTATGCGCACGATTATAGTTCAAGTTATACCGACGTGGCACGGGTCATCACCGAAATCGTTGGTGGGGTGTAGCAGAGAGGCAGGCTTCAAGGCTACTAAAGAAGATTTCGTGTACGCTTTGATTTTGACTCTCTCAATTCGAGATTGCCCATTACATGTGCTTTGGCCGTTACCAGAATGTGAATCACGTTATGATGATGCCAAGTGCGAAATCATGCTGAGATTTTGCCAACTTGTGGTGGCAAATATGAACTTTTGATCACGACAAAAAGCTGCTTGCCATATATCATGCTCGTTTCGGTTCAAAGTGATCTCAGACATTTGTGATAATACATGAATTTTGCATCGTTGCACACAGCGATGTTGTCACTACTTTTCTCACACACAGCAGCATGATCGGCCGAGTCGGCTTAGAGTTATGATGGATCCGCTTGCGCGTTACTCCGACTACATACTACCAGATATTACGATGGTGGCGTTGGCTATTGATAAAGCGGTTTGTAAACTTCCAAACCCGCTACCAAAAATGTGCAGATACTTCCGCCAAGTCATGCAGCATCTCGCCCACATTTGCACTTCCGGTATCTCGATATAGCGTACAGACGAGACACATTGGCGCTGCTGAAGCCTTTCAGAAGCAAGACAGCTAGGAAATCCAGTGTTGCTTTATTATATGTGATACTGACGTTTTCACCGCTGTAAACTATCGAAAGGCATCTTGCATTATAGCATGCCACGCAGCGTGCGTTTGTACCTCGCGATAAGAACATCAAGATCTACAAAGCGCATGACTACCCTTTGAATGGCAACATTGGACGGGTGACCCAACATGAATAGCTGGTACGCACGTATTCGCGAACGTGTGATTTGCATCAGAACGGTTCAGGTTCGCTGGATGTGCTGGCGTCTTTGATTAATTCGTAGCTTTTGTCAAAATGACGGAGACCCATCAGCATGAACTGTACTTTTGATCATATCAAAGGCGCGTACGGAAATAATATTAACGATCGAGGCGATGGTACTTTGATAGCAGAGGTGTGTAGGATATGTAAACTACTGACCTGACACAATATGCAATTAAAATTTTGCTTATTTTTGTAAACGTTATGAGTCGCTTTTAGCTAGCTTGACTCTAAATAATACTTGCTTGTTTAAGCAAAATAGTGTTTTGGGGACCTTCAAGCCTCTCTCTTTGAAGTCTTAGGCACAGCGTGTGAATCTATCTTCTGTGCGTAAGCTCTACGAGTCAGAGCATTCTCCATGTAGGTACCATGGTACCCACACTACGCTTTTTGTCAATCTACGACAGAGACCAATTCTATAAGGACGAAAAGACAATGCACATCTGATAAAGCACACTTGCTAATATCTGTCTTTCTTTGGCCCTGGGGTAAAAGCGCGATAAGCGGCCTAAGGTTCGGATGAGGTCATTGCTTGCGTGGAGACGTTCATCGGTTTTGAAAGATACGCTGGTGATAAACCCAACGAAATTCGTGATCATTCAGTAATGAAGTGATATATTCTGAACGATGCCTGAATTGATGTCTGTCACCAAATTATTTTTTCTGAGATACATATAATCTTTTCTGGGGTTTAAACTACTCTCCTAAATTTCGAACCATTTACAATGGCTGACACAGACAGATCGATCGAAATTCGATGGGAAATGCACGTTAACAAACGCAGAACAGACCAGAGTGACTATCATCGATTGATTTGTGATTGTGATTTAATGGCGACGGGCCCGGCGCAATCCGAGCAAAGTAATACGATTGACGAACCCTGCAGGTCTATCTCCGACTGCACCAGCTTTATCTTTAGACAAACGTTGATATCGCTACTTTTAACTACCTTTTTGTCGTAGTAAGTTTGATATGAATACACGACAGCATAATGCTGCAGTTGTGTGTCATTTATTGAATGTTTTGTTGCTGCATGGAAATCTAAGAGACCAAAACATTTTCCGCGCCTGAGCTTGTGCGATCATAACGGCCCTTTATTTGGGTTTATCTCTTTTTTAGTGGCCTGATATGTGAATAAGTCATGTCCATGTTGATATACTTTATGTAACAAATAATCTCGCGTCAAGGTCCGTCAAATGCAGAGGACATCTCGTTCGTTAAGTCTGCATGAAGCATGTTTACTCCTTGGCATTCTAATTGTAGGATACCTTACACCGTTCTCTTAATAACCTTTATGTAATTATAGCAGATAGATAGTTAAATTAGGTCTGAGAATAAATGCTCGAGCAAGCCAATTCGTCTATTATGGAAGAGTCGATTATATATATGCTTCAGTTGAATTATCTTGTACCAGAGCCGAAGAATATGCTAGTGACTGTGTAACGCGGTCTTCCGTGTGTATCAGTCGAAAATAAAGGTGCCAAATCCTCAGAACATTAGCAATAGTTTATCTTTGTTACGTTGTAACGATACCCTTTTTGGATCGCTTCATCGGGAGGGGTAGATTCCACAATATTGTAGAACGGCCACACATTCAATTCCAACAGGATTTATGGAAGAGGCTTTGCCTTGTTATATGGCAAAGTTAGCAATTTTTCGTCATGACGCTTTGCCAGAGTATTTCAGAGCGTCTAACGGTCAATAGTCTAATGTGTACTGATACCATATGGCATACAAACCTCAAAGTACTAGTCTTGATCTCTCCAAGCTCCGTTCTAAGTTCGAAAGACAAGCGTTTCATAGCGGTGTAAGTTCTTAATATTCCGTTGCCGTCTTGAACAGATATGCACGAATCTCTGACAGCGACTTTGCCTCGTCATTACATTATCACCGTCTACTTCTAAGGGTCATCTCTTCACAATAGCATTATTGTTCTATGTGTCATCGCATCTTAAACCATGCTTGACTTCTAAGAGTCATCTCATTATT